TGTTTTGCTCAAAAATGTGCTACATTACTGAAAATCCTTATAAAGCTGCAAGAGCTCTGGGCTCTCTGTTGGTTCAGTGAGTCCTGAGGGCCTTTGGCCCAGGGGGAATGTGGCTATATTGGCTCAGCACAGAGTTCTTTGTAAAATGCTTTAGTGTGTCTTAGTTTAGGCTTGTTCCTTGTCAGAGGCACCTGGCTTCTTTCTCCTTGTGTGCTGCTTATGGAATTTTTTTCTGTTTTTTTTACAGGGAAGTTTTCAAAGCCAAACATCGCCAGACAGGCAAGAAAGTAGCACTGAAGAAGGTGTTGATGGAAAACGAGAAGGAAGGGGTAAGTGTGGGGCACGGCTGGGTCGGGCCTGTTGTCACCTGGGCTGCAAAGGCATGTGGCAGCAGAGAGGGGACTGGGTTGCACGGGATGGCTGCTGGGAGGTGACACTTCCTGGGTGTTTCTTCTCCTCTGGGACCCCAGCACAGGGCTGCACACTGGCTGTGTGTGTGGAGGAGCTGGGTGATGTGTGAAGCACATGCTCAGGGGTTGGGGACAGAGTTGACAGCTTGAACAGCAAAGGCAGCAGGCAGAGAGGCTGTTCTGCAGCCCAGGCTGGGCTGTGCCGTGGCCTGGTGTGATGGAGAGGAGGGCAGGACCTGCCAAGCTGCCTGGTCACACCTCTCCGTTCTCTCTGTTCTCTGGCAGAGGTGGCCTGGTCTCCTGCACCTCCAGCCTCCATTCTCTCTTTCTCTTTTCCAGTTCCCCATCACAGCCTTGCGAGAGATTAAAATCCTGCAGCTGCTCAAACATGAGAACGTGGTGAACCTCATAGAAATCTGCAGGACCAAAGGTATTTTGCAGGGTCTCCTTTGTGTTAATGATGGCTTTTCTGAGCCCTGCTGAGCAGGCTGGTGTCTTGTGCTGGGAGTGGGGTGATCTGGCTGAGCATGGGCCTCTGTTCCTGCCTGGGACAGGTCACTTATCTTGGAGAAGAGTTTCTAAATGAGTCAGGATGTTGCTGATGCTCAGATGGAAAAAGCTGTGATAGTCCTGCCAGGATGTGCCTGTGCTAGGAAACTCCCTTCTGAGAGGCTTTAAATGAACCAGCACTGGGCAGACTTTGGAGCAGAGGCTTCTCAGCCTCTCTTGGTTGGCTTGTGATGGTTTCTGGCAGCTCTAGGCTGATGACACAGCTCCAGCTGAGGCTCACTCAGCAGCTCTTTCTGTGGGTGATGTAACTGCTTGTGCTGGGAGGGCTGGGACTCCATAGGGGCAGTTCTCAGCTGCTCTTCCACCTCCTCCCTCCCACCTGATCCCAGGTGCCCCCACTGCTTCACAGGCTCAGCAACCTGGCCTGGCTCTGTTTACAGTGAAACTGCCATATAACATCTGCTAGAGTTTATTTATCATTCTCTCACATGGATTTGTACTGGAAAAATACTTTGGAAAGGGACAGTTGATGTTACAGCCTGCCCTTCCCTAGCCAGTCATGTCAGTGAAATAAAAACAAAGCTGACTAGTATCTGGTGTTTTTTTAAAAAGTCCAGTCACTGAACAGGCACTGATGGGAAATTCAAGATACTCCAGTACTCAGCTGTGTGTAGATTGCTGTCTGAATAGGTATGAGTAAAAACACCAATGACAAGTTAATTTTTAATTCACCCTGTGATTAAGAGAGCTGTGATGATTGGGTGTCTGGCGTACCAAAAGTAAATATTTTTGTAGACATGTCATTTGTTCCCTTTTTATGTTTTGTTTGTATTCCAGTTTTCATCCAAATCTACCTTGACCTCAGTTTGCAGTAAAGTAGAAATGTTTCATTTACTGTTCTCAAACGTGAGGTTTTTCTGTTTTTACTTTGGAAGGGTGTGTTTGGGGCAGTGTCTGTGTGAGGAATGCAAACCCAGGGTAGCAGGCACCCTCCTGGCTGGGGAGCACAGCAGTGTGCTTCTCTGGGGGCTAAGCTTTTCCACTTGGAGATGCTGATCAGCAGGTTTTGCTGATGACAATTGATAAAAATCAGCTTTTCTTTTTAATAACGTTTTGTGTGGGTGCTCTAGGAACAAGATTGAAATTGATTCCTTCACTTAAACTCTGCTGTCATTGGCTTCAAACTGCACTTGGAGTTTTGTATCGCTTTGATCAAGATCTGTCTTTTTTTGCAGATCCTGTTTGAGGTTGCAGGAAATCTCACTTTTTAATGTGAGATTAGACAGATTTTCTGTGTTTCTGCACTTTTCCTGGGGCTGTCTGTGGGTGCCTCCTCTATCTCTGATGCTTGGCTGGCAGCCACAGCTTGCAGGGAGGAAACCCCACAGCCCTTATGTGCCCAGAACAACACGAAGTGAAGCTTTCAAAGGTTGCCATGCCCTTTCCTTGCCTGTCTGATGACATTTGCTGCACCAATCCTCATCTTGTGTTGCTAGTTTTCGCTCAGTTCTTCTTTAAAAAGGACCTTGAGGCCTGCAGGCTGTCTGGTTCTCTGTGTTCCCATGCCCTGAGATTCTGTGTGGGGGGTGTTGTGTGAGGTGCAGGGTGGTGGGAGGCAGGAGGAGCTGTGAGCCAGGGGAGGGTCCCTCACTGGCAGCCTCTGTGCCTCTCCTGCAGCCTCTCCGTACAACCGGTGCAAGGGCAGCATCTACCTTGTGTTTGATTTCTGTGAGCACGACCTGGCCGGCCTGCTCAGCAACGCCCATGTCAAGTTCACGCTGTCAGAGATCAAGAAAGTGATGCAGATGCTGCTGAATGGACTTTACTACATCCACAGGAACAAGGTAATGGCACAGACTCCTGCTGTGCTCACAGGGTGTGACAGTGTTCACAGGGGTCTGGGGATGAGGGAGGAGATGAGGATCTGACTCCATGTTTCAGAAGGCTGATTTATTATTTTATTATATATATTTTATTAAAACTATACTAAAAGAATAGAAGAAAGGATTTCATCAGAAGGCTAGCTAAGAATAGAATAGGAAAGAATGAATAACAAAAGCTTGTGGCTCGGACAGAGAGTCCGAGCCAGCTGACTGTGATTGGCCATTAATAGAAACAATTGCATGAGACCAATCGCAGATCTACCTGTTGCATTCCACAGCAGCAGATAATCTTTGTTTACATTTTGTTTCTGAGGCCTCTCAGCTTCTCAGGAGGAAAAATCCTAAAGAAAAGATTTTTCAGAAAATATCATAGCTACAAGAGGGTGGCTTTCCAAGGAGCAGGCAGACACCTGCTCCTTGTTCTTAGCACAGGCTGGAGGGAAATCCTTGTTTCCCACCACTGCAGCCTGAGCATGTGCTGGTGCAAGACACCCAATGAGGGCACTTTATTCACTCAACTCTTCAATGTGTGTCCTTGTACAGATCTTGCACCGAGACATGAAAGCAGCGAACGTGCTGATCACACGGGATGGGGTCCTGAAGCTGGCGGACTTTGGGCTGGCTCGAGCTTTCAGCCTGGCCAAGAACAGCCAGCCCAACCGCTACACCAACCGCGTGGTGACC